TTTTTCATTTTCAAAAAGAAATTGCTTTAAATTATTTTACAAGTAAGTATTTAAATATGAAGTTGATTAGTTGAAAAACATTAAAGTTGTTAAATAAGAAAAGACTATAGCATGTTTCACTACACTGCTTTTCCCCTTTAGATGAATCATCACTTCGATCTATTTTCCAACAACAAATTACAAATCGTATTTTTACCAATAATGATAAATACAGAGTGAAAGGTTTACCGAATATATATACTGAAAATGTATATGTTCACATCTTGATCTTTTTCAAAAACTTAAAAATATTAAGTATTATGAAACCATCTGTTATGTCATATCCACCTTTATCACTTTGTTATTCGCCATCGACTACTTTTTCATCTCCAATTCTTACTCATTTATATATCAATGTTGAAAATTTTGATGATTGTCTTTATTTACTTGATGGTCGATTTGGTGAACTGACAACATTGTGTGTTAATGTCTATCATATGGACACATTTGAAGGAATTGTTCACAATATGGTAAGTTGTTACAAATAATTTCATGTATGCCACGAAGATTACGACTATTTCAATGCAGTTAACGAGTGGTCTCGAAGAATTCAGATAAAAAATCGCATGGTTAAATTTTATTCTGATAAGGGGAGAAAAGTATTACGTGTTGAAGAATATATCAAAATCATCGATATTCAGTTTGTACTTGCTAGAAATTTGAATTTAATAAAAAAATCAATAAAATTTGTTGCAAGAAATTATAATTATATAATATTTTATCGAATATAGTTCACATTGAAAAGTAGACTACAGTGCTTCATGATTGATGAAATATTATCAAATGTGAGTGATCATCAGCATAGAATAGAACGAAAGTTTTTCTATAATAACAGTTTTTCCAATACTTGAAATATGACTGAAAGTTTGCGGTCTGAAGCTTTGATTGTTCTTTTAACACTAGTTCGTTGTGCTATAAAATGAGAAAAGAAAACTAATAGATTTGTCATTTGTGGTTATTTACGGATAGAATATAGATCATATATCATGTATAAAATAATGATGCCATTGACTTAATCTTGTAGATTATCAAAAAAACTTTTCTTTCTTTTTCTAGGATAAATTAATGAATCTGAAATGCTTCTCATTAAAATCGTTCTGCCCATTTCATCAATATGATAAGATTGTATTACTTCTTCGTCGTATGCCAAATCTGGAGAAATTAACTCTAAATATTTCTATAGTAGGTCAAAATAGAGTTATTGGTGGTACTTATGTTCAACATGATATTT